AATAATATATTAGTTTAGTTAATGATACACGATTAATTAATAAATCGCGTCGAATAACTAACGATATACTTACAGATTTAGCTAAATTTCTTGGAAAATCTACATCGACACCATTCATAACAGCTAAATGGTATGACAATATTTGCAAAGGAATGATCGTAAGAAGACCTTGTAGACAATCAACGGTTTTGGGAACACGGATTGTTTTGTATTGATCTGATATTCCATCATCGCCATTATTACAAATAATGATTGGTTGACCTTTACGAGCTGATACTTGTTCAAGTGCACTTTGTACTTTCTATAATTATTATAATTAATAATTTATTAAATATATTAAAATTATGATTTCATTAAATACTTATTTATAAATATAGATATACTTACCGGGTACAAGGAATCTTTTGTCATAATAAGAATGACTGGCATATTTTCATCAATAAGTGCTAAAGGACCATGTTTCAATTCGCCAGCCAAAATACCTTCAGAGTGCATGTAAGAAACTTCTTTTATCTTCAAGGCACCTTCGAGACATGTGGCATGTTGATAACCACGACCCATAATCAAAAGACTTTTTTCTTTGTGTAAAACATCTTTTGCAAGTTGTTCTAACTCTTTATCAAGAGTAAGAATTTCTTTTATATGGTTTGGTAATTTGTTAAGTTCGCTGATTATCTCATTACGTCTTTGTGTCATTGATGATCTGTCTTCACTTAATTGAATAGCCATCATGACCAATGAAATATATTGAGACGTATAAGCCTAAAAACAACAATGATTGTTATTATTATTATTATTATTATTATTATTATTAAGTATTATTAAATCACAATATTAACAATGAAGAAGTTGTTAAATTTTTTAATTACTTTTGTAGAAGCAACTCCAATTTCGGGACCTGCATTGATATGAACACCACAGTGTGTTTCACGTGAAATGCTAGAACCGACAGTATTTGTAATACCTAAACACAAAGCTCCACGTTCAAGACAATATCTTAATGCAAGGATTGTGTCAGCAGTTTCACCAGACTGTGAGACAAATACACAAACATCATCTCTGAATATTGGAGTTTTTCTATCCAAGAAATCACTGGCCAATTCCACAGAAATGGGAATTTCAGTTAATTCTTCAAAAATTGCACGTGTCTAATTTAAAAAAAAGATTTTTTAAGGAAATAATATATATATATATTTAAATATGTAAAAGACAAATATATATATATGTGTGTGTGTGTGTGTGTGTGTGTATATATATAACAGAGATAACACTTACAGCCACGCAAGAATGATAACTTGTACCACATGCACAGAAAACCAAACGTCTACAACGTCTAATAGTTGCTAAATAAGCTTTAAGACCACCAAGCGTCACCTTATTATTTTCAAAGTTGACACGACCACGCATAGTATTTACCACAGATTCAGGTTGTTCAAAAATTTCTTTTTGCATAAAGTGATCGAAAGATCCTTTCATAATTTCTGCAAGTTCAATTTCCAAAGTTTGAATGGAACGAACAGCTGATATTCCATCATCGCGTCTTAAACGATGAATATGTAATTCTGTTTATTATTATAGTCATTATTGTTATTTTATTATTATTGACAAAAAAAGATTCCAAGAAACTTCAATTTATATATCAAGGTGGAAAAAAATAAAAAAAAACGAATTACCTCCTTCACTCATATGCCCTATATCATCATCTTCTAAATAAAGAACTCTTTTTGTATGTTCAACAATTGCAGAAGGATCGGATGCAAGGAAGTATTCGATAGGTTGAGGTAAACCATCTTCACTAAGAAAAGCACGTGATTGACTGCGTCTGAGTTTAGGATGACCATCAGTTGGAGATGTTAATAAATTCGGTTCAACTTTATCATCTATTAATGTTGTTAATATAATGATATAATGGCATTGCATTAAATACTTTTGGTATATATGTGATTAGTGATTGTTGATAATAAATTAATTAATTAGTACATACCTGTTCCAAATTCAACATCAACAAAGTCAACTTTTAATTTTTTTTCTGTTTTTACACCAATTAAAAGAGGAGATCCACGACGTGTTGCAACGATTTCATTTGGAAAATGAACACTTTTAAAGATTAAAGCAAATGCTCCTTCCTATACACGTATATAAATAATTTATTCACAAAAAGGAAAATAAATAAAAAGTTTTATGTTTTCCCATTGCTAAAAAAAAAGAAAAAGAAAAAGAAAAGGATTGATAACGGTGATGATGACGATAATGATAATTACCAATTCTTTAACTACACCTTTAACAAGGGAGGTGAAACTTAAATTTTGATTAGCCTTTTGAGAATCATATAAATATTTAGCAAGTTTAGCAACAGCTTCAGTGTCGGTTTCAGTTTCAAATATGTAATTTTTTTTTTCAAGAACTAATTTAAGCTCTTTATAGTTTGTAATAATACCATTATGAACAACGGTAAATTCGGCCTTTGGATCGGATCTGTGAGGATGTGAGTTTGTTGACGAAGGTTCACCGTGAGTAGCCCAACGAGTATGAGCCATACCACAATGATTTACAAATTGTTTTTCAAAATCAACTTGTTGCTCCGAAACAAATTTTTTTAAAGCACCAACTTTTCCAACTTGTTTATATATTAAAACTTCTTCAGATTCATCACCATCAACTGCTAACCCTGCCGAGTCATAACCACGATATTCCAGACGAGCCAAACCACTGACAAGAGTATCAATTATTTCTTTTCTATCCTTTGTTAATAGATAATTAGAATATGCAAATATACCACACATTTTGATCTAAATTAAGTTAAATTTTTTTAGTTTAATAATACCTTGTTCATTAGTCACAAAAGAATCTAATTGTACTTTGTCAGTGAATTTATAGGTTTCACAACATACGATAACTGGAATATCTTTTCCTTTAGCCATCATTGCTACCAATGCAGTGCCAACACGCGAGTAAAGTGTTCCGTTTGACATGAAAGCATTTGCACCAAGAAAAACTTTTGAAACATCTTTTAATACAAATCCAAGTGCATGAAGAAAAGCATATGTGCAATTGATTCCCACGTTTACCAATTTATTTAAAAGTCTTTTACCTGAAAGTAAATAAACAAAGAAGTTATGACAAAATATACATATATAATTAATTAATTTAATTATTAATTATTATTTATCACCTTCTAATCTTGGTCGAGAATCTATAATGATGACTCTAAACTTTATTCC